CAGATCCACGAAGTACACTGCTGAGGGGAGCAGTGGGCGGGTCAGGAGAGGTCTGCCTCGCCATGTGGTCACCTCTGGGGCAGGCGGGAATGGAACTCATGAGGAAGTGGCTTTAACTTCTTAGTGCTGTGCTTTAACCCGCTGCGCCACCAGGGAGGGCCATGATTGCATTTTTAAAAGAACACTGCTTCCTTCTCTATGAGATGGAATCAGCCTGCTTATCTAGTGAGCATCCAGCACCAAGTCAAAATGAAATAAAATAAAACAGAACCACTCTTTCGGGTCACCCCTGCATGGATCTTCTGGTTCCCTTTCGCCTTTGGGAATCTGCTCAGTTTCTTTGGGGAGACCTGGGGGCACTGATGTCACACGACCCCAGACGGGTCCCCAGCTTCGGCGGGCACTAGAGCTGGTTAGACTTACTCAGGGTTGTTGCAGAGTCTTTCTGCACTCTGGACTCCGGCCCCGCAGGTCCTGGAGCAGTGGGACCAGGGCGACCAGCGGCCCCAGCCTCCGGGAATGCTCTCCGGTTTCTTCCCCACCATGATGCACTTCCCTGACATACACCACTGGAAGGAAAGGCACGGGAGATGTAGCGGTCAGGACATTTGTCACCACAAGCTGAGACAAGAATCCTCTAAGTCAAAACCGAGATCTCCCTGAGCTAGCAGGCTTCCTAGAGTCACCCGTCAGACAGAGATCGAAGAAGGGTACATAAAACAATTTTCCCCAAGAGTAGCCCCTAGAGAATTTCAGGGAAATTTATGGTGTCTAGTTGCAGCCAATGCAGGAATGTGACCCAAAGCGTGGCTGGCAGACTGCACGCCAGAATGTAAATCAACACACCACTTCCTTCATTGGGAAAGTGTTGCTCTGAAAAGCATGCTTAGTAAGAGAGTTCTTCCGTAACACAGTGGATTGACTTTCTGGTGCAGGCTCTTCGTAGAACACTTTACAGTCTGGCTCTACGATCACACTCCTTTAATACGCCTCTGTCATTCTTTAAAGTCTTCAACAGATAACTCATCCTCTGGCAAAAAGCCCACTCATTGCCAAAAGACTTCAGCTGCTAAAAAGTTGAAGTTCTTTCCAATATCAAGAACAAATTCTGCTTTCCTGTAATTCTATCCACTGTTTCCAGTGCTGGCCTATCAAGTAACTCAGGAAAGAAAAAATAAATTCTCTTCCCCTTCAAGGTAATTCTTCAACAAGGTGTCGCTTAAGGAGTAAACATACATATCGGAGAACAAAGGAAGATGCAACGGGGGTGTCAGCAATGGCTCCGTTTCGGGGAGTTTGGGGATACTGTACCTGCTGATGTTTTCCTAATTTTTGGTCAGTGTCTTTTGATGCCACACTCAAGATGCATAAAGCCACTACTAAATGTCAGCCCCCAGCCAGAAAACCCAAACTGGTTTTGCAGATGACACCATTAGCCTGCCCCAGCTGTCTGAAGGGCACCTAATAGCTCTGAGTCCTTGTGGGGTGACTTTCCTGCTCAGTAAAGTAGGGAAAGCTTCAAGAAATGCAGTCAGGCTGGACGAGGCCAAGGTGAGCAGCAAAATCTACAGATGTTCACTGAGGGCTGATGGGACAGATTTTTTACAGGTGAAGGGTAGAATTTGGCCCCAGCTCTCTCTCCCTAACTACTCATTTGCAGTGAAGGTTGAAGATTTTATTTATTTATTTTTGCATGGAAGAACTGGGGTCTAAGCCAGAGGGGTGGGGAGTGAGAGGATTCACTAGAGAAAGTGGGGAACAGAACAGGTGGATTTACTGAAATCTACTGCTGAGGGGAGCAGCGGGCGAAAAAGGATAGGTCTGCTGCCTGTGTAGGGGTCCACTTCCTGTCCAGGGATCGAACTCAAGCCATGGGGCGACAGTGCTGAAACTTTACCCTGAAGCCACCAGAGAGGCAGACAGGGAGGTGTGGTGGAAGAGGCATTTTTCCCCGCTAGTCTGACAGTGCGATCTCCATTCACCCGACTGCTCTCTCCAGGACCTTCTCCGCAGGCTTCCCAAGAGTTCTGTGCCCTCTGCCCTGCTCACTTCCTTCCTCTGCCTGACACCTCACCTTCTTCTCACCACATCGTGTCCCGTCAGCAGCTGCGTCCAGTTTAGAGCGACAAAAGCCTTTCACTGAGCACCACAGGGTCTGGCAAACATTCTGGAAAGCAAATGTGAGATTGCATTTGCCTGTATTTTCAAATTCTGCCCCAAAGCACCATGATGGTAAAATACCTGTGCCATGAATGCTGTGGCTCTTAGTGATTACGAGTGATGGGAAATACTCACTGGAGAGGTCTTTGGGTCGAACTGAATTTGGACTTTGTCACAAACAATGCTGGGTCAACCATACTTGTCATAACGACAATATGGCAAGTATTCCCGATAAAATGGAAGACAGAAGCCTCAGAGTGGAGGCGTTTGTTTCTGAGTGCAGTGCCCTGTCCAGCACTCACCGGCCTTAGGGAGGTAGCTGGTGACACTAGCACTCATGGGCCTCAGGAGGGTAACAGGTAATTGGTGACACCAGCCCACAGGGATGGAGGCACCCTATTACACACAGCTGGGTGTTCCTAACATGCACTTGCTCCAAGAAGGAGACTATCCCATCCATCCAGACTCAGGTCATTTCCCTGTTATTTAAAGTGGTCATTTGGTTTTCAGAGAGTGAACTGGATTTGTTTCTCATTTCTCTTCTTGCAGCAGAAACAAAGGAAGGCTGACACAATTGTTCTATGTCATCTAGCTCAACTGCTTCCATATACCTGCTTGTGTCTGCAGGGTGGGGCTACTCAGTCACCTGGAAGCAGGTGGATTTTAGAGATGGTTAGGAGGCAGAATCAGCAGAATTTGGGGATCAGTGAGAAGTGAGCACTTTTTATACCGTTTCTTTCTTTCTTTCTTTCTTTTTTTTCAATTTTGTTTGCTCTAAGCCCAGATATGACTTCCTCCACAAAGCTGTCTCTGTCTCTCTTTATGCACTTATCTCACTATATTGGAATTTTTCTGTCCTCCTCCACCAGAACATGAGCTTCGCAAGGCCAGAGGCTTTGTCGTATTAATTTCTGAAAACGCATTTTTCCCTGATTGAGGGCACAGCACAGAACCGGGCATGATGTTCAGTGTGGCCTGCCTTGTCTGTATAGCTGCATTAGTACTGACACTTTTGTGCTCAAAGGACAATGTCAGACATTAGGCAAGGTCTAGATCACAATTTGAGATCACTAGAGTGAAGATGGGGCTTCACCCTGTGTTCTGTGGGGACGCTGGGAGCAGAGTTATGGTTAGCTTTGTGGACTTTTAGAATACCTTGAGCAACAGTATGAGTGGGAGAGAGGCCAGGTAGGCCGTACTGCCCTTCTAATAACAAAGAGAGATGACTAAAGACTGAATTTAGGCAATGGCAGCAGGAATGGACAGTCACAAACTCTTTAAAAGTCAGGGCTTGATATACCATTTGGATATTGAAAATAAAGGATAAGAACACATAGGGCACAAATTTCACCCCTGCCCCAGGATCTGATGGTGGTCTTCAACCAGCTGGGAAGCTGAGGACAGGGAGTAACTTAGGGTTAAGCTGGTACACAGCCTGCAAGCATGAATCATTCCAACTCTTGAAAATCACTATAGAATTTTCCTCGCCCCCACCCAGTTGCAAAGCACTGCAGGCTCCATGGAGTTCCAAGGAGGCAGAGTTGAGAAATATAAATGTCAGCCCTTCTGCCTTACAGAAGCCCTTCAGACCAAGTTGATCCACAGCTTTCCCATGGCTGTGGATCTCTGGATTTGCACACTTCCCTGGCCCATCCTGCCACATGCCGGAGACCTCTGTCATGCATTCCCACCAGAGGCACTGAGATCCCCAACACTTACTTCTACCTCCTGGCAGAAGGTGGCATTGGGGCCATACTGCAGCTGGCACTGGTGATGAACATCATAGATGACTCCAGGAGCAATGACCTTGGACTTCAAGCCTTTCTTTTTGGGGATGTCATCAAGACAGAACCCCAAGCCTCGACTGAAAATAAGTTGGCAGAAGTGAGAGCAGTTGCTTATGAGTTCCTTCATCTCTAGATGTCCCTGTAGCTGTCTTTTTGTCCTTCAAGACAGCTGTATTTTATAAGGCAGAGAGCCCTCCAGACCCAAGTTGAAGGTTGTCGAAAAGGAAACGCACATCACCCCCCTCATTACTTCCGTTGTTACCTAGGAAATACATGCTAACGCGAAACAATCGCCATCTCACTCCTCCCCCATGGGGCTTTGGTGACCACTTATGACGTGTCAAGTTGTTCCTGCCAGTCAGCAAGGACTTAAGGCCCCATCAGGTCATAAAGAGCCACTTCAAGGCAGGAGCGAGCAGGAGGTATGGATCACCTCCTGGTTGTGTGTGGAGAGCAGAACCCACCTAGGTCTCTGGTCAGGGCAGAAGTGAGATCCACTTCTGACGCGACCTTCACACTGTGGCCTGAGGAAAGAACTGAGCCCTTTTGGGGGTTCAGGACTTCTGTGTACAACTTGAAGGGACTCCAGCTGACAGAGACCCAGCGGGGCTGACCTCAGACACGCTGACTTACTCGAGGAAGCGGGTGATGTACTCCTTGCTGCACTTGGACCACGTCAGCGGTGTGGGGTTGTACTGGAGCTGGCGGGACATTATGTACAGGTGCCTGCCCACGGGCTCACAGTCATTCTCCTTCCCGTCGTGCTGGATGCCGAAGCTGGTAGGGAGGCACAAAGCACGTGAATATCAGGGACGCAGGCTTGGGACAGGAAGGAAGCCAGTTTCTCCAAGGCAGAAATACCCACAGGGGAGACGCAGAGAGCAACCTCTGTACCTGAGACTTCTCTTTACCAAGTGAGTCGGTGAAGTTGGAGAGGGATGGCTCATTTTGGACTAAAAAGCCAGTGTTGGATTAGAAAGGGGGAACCAGGGCCCTCCCTGGTGGCACAAGGGGTTAGGACGCAGCACTGCAGGCTGGCTGCAGCTGCTTCAGTGTGAGTTCGATCCCCGGCTCCAGAGGTGATCCACATGGCACGGCAGACCTCTCCTGACCCGCCCGCTGCTCCCCTCAGCAGTGTACTTTGTCAATCTGCCTGTTCTGCTCCCCACTCTATCTATGGTGAATCTTCTCACCCCCTGCACCTCTGGTTTGTACCCCAGATCTGTAATAAATAAATAAATCTTAAAAAAAAAAAAGTGGGAACACTGGTATGATCAATGGGAGCTGTGTGGGTAACTCAAAAACTTCTGTTGGACAGAAAGCTGAGAAAGCTCAGGTTGACTTTCTGTCAGAACAACCCGCAAGCTCCCTGCGCTCTCCAGCTGCATGCAGCAACCAAGCACCGAAGTCCAAACTTCCTTCCCTTTTCCTCATAAATGCAGAGAAAACATGGAAGAGGAAGCCTACAGGAAACTGGGAAAACCTGAAGCTTGGAGGGGTGGATTTCTTTCTCATCTTGCACCTCCAACATCTGAGACATTAAGGAGACCTCGTCATGTAGGGTGACGTCATGCAGAGTTTCTCAAGACACATTATCTGACTGGAATTCCAGGTCTGTCACTGAATAAGCTGTGAGGTACTGAGACTTTCTCATTTTCATTTTCCTCTTCTAGAAAGTGGAATTGTTTCCATGGCGTGAGGGTGAACAGGGAGGATGGGAGAGTTAGCAAGGTGCCTGGTGCAGGAGAAGGTACCAAGAATGAGAGAAAAACTTTTAATTATTGTTATTTTTATCACTACTGTTCCTTTTCCAGGTGAAGTTTGGAGTTTGAGTCTTATTAAAAGTCACAGTTAGTGGAAAAAGTAGATCTTCTCCATCTCTGGGCTCCTAACCCAGGGTTCTGGCTCTGTTGCGACTGCTCTCTCTGACCACCCACTCCACGGCTGACCAGATGGGGCAGCCTTGAAAGGTCCTAAAGAGCTTAAATGGGGCCTGCTTGGTGGTGTAAGGGTCAAGTCTCAGCACTGCGAAGCTGTTCACAGTCACTGCAGCACAAATTTGATTGCTGGCCAGGGAGCTGACCCACTGGGCACAGCAAACCCATCCTGACCTGCCCACTGCTCCCCTCAGCAGTGTGTTACAGTAGATCTGCCTGTTCTGCTCCCCAGCCTGTCTCTGGTGAGTCATCTCACACACCACCCCCCACTCCCCCCCCCCCCGCACCTCTGGCTGCACCCAACTTCTCGTATGCATAAATAAATAAATTTTTAAAAAGAGAGCTTCGGCCCTCCCTGGTGGCGCAGCGGATTAAAGCACAGCACTGAGAAGCTGAAGCCACTTCAGCATGAGTTCGATCCCCGCCTGCCCCGGAGGTGACCCACATGGTGCAGCAGACCTCTCCTGACCCGCCCGCTGCTCCTCTCAGCCGTGTACTTCGTTGGTCGGCCTGTTCTGCTCCCCACTCTGTCTCTGTCTCTGTCTCCACCCCTGCACCTCTGGCCTGTACCCCAGCTCTGTATGCACAAATAAAATAATCTTTAAAAAAAAAAAAAAGAGCTTAACTGCCCACCTAAAGAGCAATGGATGCCTGGGAAAGCAGCAGCTCAAAAAATGTCCAATTATGAGCCATGTCCTCAAGAGCACCCCAAGATGCCTCTGAGTATCCCCCTGCCCCCAAGAATGCTCTCCACTGAAGTTGGCTTATTGGACTCTTGCAACCAACAGATGTTGCTTCAAAATTTCAAATCTGAACAGGAAAAAGTGGGACCTTTTACTCTGCCAATGCAATTCAACCCCTAGGACAGGGACACTATAGCCAAGTTTAATAAAACTCCTGAGCAACACTGGCAACTCTAACAGAGAATAGTCTTTGAGGAGCTAGAGATTCTCTGTATCTATTTTCATGCATCTGGTGCTATCAACTTCCAGACTCTGATCACATTCCTCAGGAATATGAAAGTCACAGGCAGTCAGATGATAACCCACACAGCTCTTACCACCAGCCACAAAGAACATGGTTCAAATTCAATGAAAGCTTTTTACCTAACATCTTCCCTACGACTGCAAATCCAGTGCTACCTAGCTTATGAAGTATTTCACAATCGTTCAGCACTTACGACTCCTGAATTCACCAGTTGAGCTAAAACATATTCCCAGGGCTGTGCTCAGCCCATGCTAATTCAGAGAGCTGGAATGAACAGTGGTCAAGGAAGAAGAGCCAATGGAATGTCATATGTGACTGCCCCACATTAAAGAGGAGCAAGGTGCATCTCACACTACTCCAGTGCCCCCGACCCCTGCTTAAGGCGCTTTCTGTCCTCTGTCAATGGAGGAGCCTCCGATCACCTGTGTCCCAGCTCATGGGCGATTGTGAAAGCCAGAGGAAGGCCAGAGTCTTCGTTGATGTTACAGCTCCGGTGAGGCTGGCACATTCCTGAGAGGTGAGACAGCCCCAGAGTCTCGCAGGGGCGGTTGACACCAGCACAGATGTCCTTTCTAAAAGCAGAGAAGAGATACATTGGCACCCAAAGAAATATCTCGAAAAACCCTCCTGGAAAAAAGCCGGATGTTACCTTGCATTCAAGTATGAAATACGGTCTGTAAAAAAAATGACTACAGAATTATTTTTCAATGGGAATGTAGGAAGCATTGTTTAATCACTAAGATTCTTCTGATACTACCTCTTGCTGAGTGACACTCACTAATGCCTAATAAATAGGGGGAAATGGAGCAAATATCTTAACTTTGAGCTGCTTTTGGCTCGCAATCTCAGGAGGCCAAATTATATTTTTCACATTTTATATTTTTTACATTTTATTGAAAATGTAATTTAATTTGAGCTTTTAAACAAGGAAAGGGGCCCTCCCTGGTGGCACAACAGGTTAGGACGCAGCACTGCAAGCTAGCTACAGCAGCTTCAGTGCAAGTTTGATCCCCGGCCCTAGAGATGACCCACAGGGCGCAGCAGACCTCTCCTATGTCGCCCACTGCTCCCCTCAGCAGTGTACTCAGTCAATCTGCCTATGTTGCTCCCCGCTCTTTTTATGGTGAACCTTCTCACTGCCCCTGCACCTCTGGCTTGTACCCTAGCTCTGTATGCACAAACAAATCTAAAAAAAAAAAAAAAAAACAGGGAAACGACAGTGATAGTGATGAAAGTTTCTCATATTTGAAACCCTGTTAGGTCTTTGTGAGATCTGTGCTCACAATTCACCTGAGAACTTTTTCTAACTCAAGAAAAAGGCAATTTCTTACCAACCCATTCATGGATCAATCAGTTTCACTACCTTAACAATATTGTCCGTGGGATGAGATATGCACGTGCACACACACACACACACACACACAGACCTTTTAACTTTTACCAGGACTTTGCTATTTTCCTACCATGCAAAAAGAAAGGGAGAGACTTCTAGTTACTCCTTTTTAATGTAAAAATGTGCCCCCATATCCCGATAGAGATTATTTCTATCAACAAGAAGACCTTTGGAAGAGTTATTCATTAGTCACGGGTTTCCTTCAGTGCAAGGAATGCTCTCTGCCAAGAATGATTGTTACAAAGGCTGGCAAGCTCCAAGCTTTAGTTAGTTGCAGGCTTTCATCGCATGGGGTTTGTGTGGGTACATTTCTGGCGACAAAGGGTCTATCTACTTTTTGTATCCACTGGGCCAAGGAAAGGCCCAGGCTTTGAGAAGCCCTGTGAGCCTTTTCATTCACTCATTCAACAGTTGTTTGTTGAGTGCCTACAAGTATCCAAAACTAAAGTGGAAAAAATGGGGGTAGCAAAAGAATAGTAGGAATATGGTTTTTGCAGGCAAGGAATTTAAGGCCCCCAAAGGGGGTTAGCTCTACTGTTGCCAAGCACTGGGGATACAAGTAGAGAAAACGCAGCCATGAGCTCCATTCCTTGTGTGTGTGGGCCAAATCCACCTTCTACACAATGCAACTCTACAGACGGCTCTGTTAAAATGGATCTCGGCACAGTCCTGCAGAAGCAAGCTCAGTGTAATTCCGGCCTCCTTTGCTGATCCTACCTATCTCTACAGGCCAGAGGTTCTCAACAGAGTTGATTTTGCTCCCCGCTTGTCCAAAGGCACATGTGGCAATGTCTGGAGACAGTTGTGACTGTCGCTACTTGGAAGAGGTTCTACTCACCTCTGCTGAGACAGGGGAGAGCTGCTGGACACCCCTGCAATGCACAGGACAGTTTCTCACCATAACAGACCATCTAGCTTGAAATGTTAACAGTGTCAAGGTTGGTAAATGCTACTTTAGAACTTGAAAGACTCCCTACTCTCTAGGAGCTGGTGAGGTTCATTATAATTTAAAGCCAGACTTCTATAGTAAGGAAGTAAAATGACCATAACAAGGAAGACAGGAGAGAAGATCCTCTATGCGCTAGTAGGTAACAATTAAAAGTATGGGCTTAAGTCCCAGCTTAAGTACCTGTTAACACCAACGAGATTTTGGGCAAAGGACATAATCAACCCTCAGTTTCCCCAACTACCAGAGTTGTCATGGAGATAAAATGGAATGATGGTTGTTCCAGTATGTGTATCACAGCCTGTAGTCTTCATCAAACACTCTCCAAGCTCCAGCTCTCCCTAACTCACTCGTTTCTTCATGTGAGAGTGTGAGGAGCTGCTGTTTAGTTTTCAGGGAGACAGAAGCCAGACAGAATGCTGGCTGGCCATGGTGTGCCCCATGGGTGGGCCCTGGCTGGACTGCATCTTCCCTGGCCTCTTGTCTAGTCTCCAAGGTGCCTTTGTCTCTTTCTGCCTCCCCAGTGCCCTGTGCTCACATCCCACCCGACACCGACATTCCCCAGGGGAGCTGCTACTGAACACCAGGTGGAGTAGGTCCTCATGATGTAGTATGATAGGTTTGCACCACAAAGCTCACATTTAATGAAAATTTTAATACTTTCAGTCAAAAGAGTGATTCCGATAATTGTAGTTGGAGACTGTTTGAATAGACATTTGCATAGATGGAGGCTGATTATCACCTTTTGTCATCTTATGCACTAAAATGATCCTATGTAAGTGACAGGTGACAACCTAATTATTTAAGGGGGACCTGCCCACCCAGGTACTCTGAAGGGCAAGTCAAGGGGCTGCTTATACTAGAGACCCCTGGTTTTCTAGAAGTCTGAATCTGCAAAAGGGCACCCAATGAGAATTTATTATCCCCATGGAATGAAATTTTGTCATTTGTCCAGATCAAAATAGAGTCTGGTAAGTCATAGGTGCTCAAAAAATATTGAACAGCCTTCTAAGAGTTTGGGCTGAAAAACTCTGGGTTGAGCATGGGCTGAAAGTCAGGAAAATTCACTAGCTTTTCATGGATATCAAAAGTCCTGGAAGTTTTGGGGTTTTTTTGTTTGTTTGTTTGTTTGTTTTAAAGATTTATTTATGCATCCAGAACTAGGGTACAGGCCAGAGGTGCTGGGAATGAACAGGATTCACCAGAGACAGAGTGGGGAGCAGAACAGGCAGATACAGTGGAATACAGTGCTGAGGGGAGCAGCAGGCAGGTGAGGAGAGGTCTGCTACACCTTGTGGGTCAACTCTCTGGCTGGAGAGCAAACTCATGCTACAGTGGCTGTGGTAGCTTCAAAGTGCTGTGCTTTAACCTGTTTTGCCACCAGGGAGGGCCTGAGTCCTGGAAGTTTTGGCAGATTTTATTGGAGCCATAGGGTCTATCTTCATGAGAGGAAAAGAGAGGAAGGTAAAAACAAATCAGTCTGGCGGGGCCCTCTCTGGTGGCGCAACGGGCTAAAGCACAGCACTATGAAGCTCTCACAGCCACTGCAGCTCGAGTTCATCCCCGGCAGGGGAGGTGACCCGCATAGTGTGGCAGGCCTCTGCTGACCTGACCTACCCGCTGATCCCCTCAGCAGTATATTTCAGTCATCCCTCCTGTTCTGCTCCCCACTCTGTCTCTAGTGAATCCTCTCATTGCCCTCTGGCCTGAATCCCAGTTCTGTATGCATAAATAAATAAATCTTTAAAAAAAAAAACACCAAATCTGTCTGGCTACCCAAGGGGGATGTACCCCCACACATTCTGTTGCAGCCTAAGTCAGGGGTTTTAAAAGAGGACTGATTTCCGTAGATGTGGTCACATGTTTCTTAACTAGATAAAAATAAGTACATAAATAAAGGACTGAATATCTAACTGATTAAGTGTCTCTAATGAGGAGCTGCAAGTGGGTTCCCGACTGTTTACAGAGCTGCACAGAGAAGTGGAGTTTAAAGATGAGGTCATCAAACAGACAGGAAAGGGGGCTGCACTTTGCCAGCAGACAGTTTGTTAACATGGCGCACTCAATGCCCGAGTGGCTTTGCTAACAGCCCATGGCTTGGGAATCAGGAGTCCAGGTCATAGAAGGTGATTTTATAATGAACAGCAGAAATGACGAAGAGCAGCAATGAGGAGTGAGCATCAATGTGAATATGTGGCAGCCCTTCACCTGCCTGGTCTCCCACCTCACGGCCCTCAGCTTCCACAGCCTCCAGGGTACCTGGTGAGAAGGACAGCCACATCATGGTGGGCGGGGTTGAGGTCGCTCTTGGGGTTGATGCTCTTCTGCCACTTGCAAAAACTGGACAGTGTCTTCTCTGCATGGTGAACTATTTTCAGGCCTTGCTGGAGAAAGAAGAGGAAGAGATGGGCACAGGTAAGCTCGTGGAGGGAAAGACCCTCGCACTAACCCCCACAGCCTTCAGGTAAGAGGGGCTCAGAAACGTGGCAAGAGGCCACCGTGGCCCTCTGGGCTGACCCCTGCTCTACACACTGTCGCTCTATGACTGCCTCTAAAAGAACCTGAGAGGAGAATGCAGGACAGAAATCAGCATTAAAACAATCAGCTCTTGAAGAAAAACTTTAAATATATTGGGAAGACATTTTGGAAGTTCTGTTTTTAGTGGATCTCTGCATCCTAAACTGATACAATCCAAGGGGCCATTTTATTTCTAGTGCAAAATGCACAGAATTATTTAAGGTTAATAAAGCATTTATTTACAAATGTAGGGGAAATGAGGAAATTAAAGAGAAAGTGATAAATTGATAATGTGTCCTTCCATTCCAGCAATCTGGAATCCCAACGGCATGCTGCAAGCTGGCAAAAGTCAAGAGCCAAGAGGAACAGGGGCAAGCAAGCGAAGAGCCACCCAAGAGCTACATGTCTGGTTTTTTACCAAACCTGTCTGCTAACTCCACCCTCAAATCCAAGCAGTCCTCCCTTCTGTGATGAGGGTATTTGTGGTTTCCCTGTGTCTTGATGGCTTTGGTCTGGAGTGGGGGATGGAGTCCACAAAACCTGTGGAGTTCCTTCAAGGTATTCTTTCCTCCTAACAGTCTGAGGAATCTCCACACAGCTTTCTATAGTGGTTGGACCAGTTTGCATTCCCACCAGCAGTGTAGGAGAGTTCCTTTTTCTCCACATCCTCATCAACATTTGTTGTTGCTAGTTTTTTTAATTTGTGCCATTCTCACTGGTGTAAGGTGGCATCTAATTGTAGTTTTGATTTGCATTTCCCTGATTATAAGTGATATTGAACAGCAAAATGGACAGAATTTTAACAGAAAGCGTCGTCCTTTCAGGAAGCATCCTGCAAATTTGGAGTTGCAGTAAATGCTTCCTGCCCCTGCTTTCCATCTATGGGTCAGGGGAAAAGGGGACCATCATCTTGCCAGGTTTCTGGACAGTTAGGACAACTCATCATCTGCAACAATCAGATGCAGTATGTACCGGAGGGTTTCTGAGGCCCAGGGCAGCTCCTGAGTCATCCATAGGGCTCAGTTGCTACGGAGATGGGAAGAAGGGTCTTACTCTACATAACTGGGTGAGCACTTGCCCAATGGGGAAGCAAACAGGGCTGGCCAGCTCCAGAGGGACTCCAGTTCAACTTTAATATCCCTGGTCCCTTTTCTTTAGGACCTCCCCAAAGAGTCATCTCTGACACCAGAGAGATTCTTCCAGAAAATTGACTAGCTCCATGCATCCCTCTAATCTGAGTCTATTAACAGTGAATTCAAGGAACTTCTGTCAAAGTATGACCTTGCTTCTCTATTGTTCTGTATTTAGTTGAGGCCCACACACTGATCAAATTGACTGCAAGGCTTCAGGTGCTATTAGAAGTATTCTCCCCCCACACAACACCCCCTCCCCGAACCCCAGACATGCAGTCAACTACCGGGTGCCACATCCTTACAGGACAGCACAGAAAGGTGACTAGCATGAACAGAAACTCCCAAACTGATTAGCATGAAAATCTAAATAGAAGAAAGATTTCATTACTTGTTCCTTCTCATTACACTTTCCAGCATAATGATATATGGTGAAGGAACAGGCGCATTCTGCGGGGCTGGGAGTCAGACTCCAATTCATTTGGTCAAGCTGGAGTTAGAATAGCAGCCCTCCTTAAGTGAGGACAAATGGCTCTACAACCCTCAAGGGCCTGGTCAGATCAAGAGTCAGAAGCCATGAGAAGGGAGGGGACAGGAAGAAAAAAAGTAAGAGTGAGGGAAGAACAATAACCGAGACACACAAACACACACATATCAAAAATGCTTATAAAACTGATAAAATGTGATTAAGGCAGGTGGTTTGCATGAATATTAATTTACTGGGTGTGACGCTGTACGAAAGTTATGCAAGGTAAGCAGAGGGAGGGGTCTAAGGGGCCTCTCTGCACCACTGCTTATAATTGCAGCTTAAGTCTACACTTTTCTCAAAAATAGACAAAATTAAGTATCTTCAGAATAATAACTGATGAGAATCAAGGCAAAAGGGTTGCACTAGAAAATCTTACAAAGCACTTTTCAGTAGGAATTTACACGTGTTACGTAGCAATTATATGTGAGATCCTGTCATTCTGAATCCAAGGGAAACTGGATGGGTCACAGTGAGCAGGGAGGGCTCACATTCTCACACACCCCACACTTACTGCAAGGTGCAATTAAGATCCCTAGTTAAACGGCCACGGTCCTAACAGTTCATTAGTGCCGAGGTGGCCACCCAGGCAGAGGCAGGTGGAACTCATCTCAGAATATTCTCCTTTGAATCACAAAGCCAATGGTGAGGCCACAGAGCCGGGATCTCAAGGCTGGGACTTTTGCCAGGTCAGCAACACTCAATTGCTGGCTTCAGTATTGTCCTTTATGAATCCGTTGGACTCAGCGTTTTGGAAGAACTTACATACCAATCCGTGTGTGTCTGTTTAGGGGAAAGCACATGTTTACAAACACCCACTCACCCTCCCTCATTCCTTGGCCAAAGCCGGCATCAGCGAACATACATCTTCAACGTGGAGCAGCAGAATTACTTTCCAGATGCTGCAGCACAAACTCTGCCTCACTCCCATCATCTGAAGAGCGCCCCACGCCCAAGGGCTGGAGGAGCTGGATAAGTATTCAACCCTTTTATGCAAATGGTGAGGGACAGCTCTCGGGTTTAAGGCTGGGAACCAGCCCCAGGGGCCTCCCTGGTGGTGTAGGGGTGAAGCCTGATGCTGGCACCTCTATAACCTGAGTTCAAACCCTCAGCTGACCCACGTGGTGCAGCAGGCCTCTCCTGTCTTGTGCTTGTTCTCTTAGCTGTGCATTTCAGTCAACCCCCCTGTTCCACTCCCCACTCTGTCTCCAGTGAATCCTCTAGCCCCCACCTCTGCCCCCTCAAACACACCTCTGGCCTACACCCCAGTTCTTTTGTGCCAAAAAAAAAAAATTTAAATAAACCATCATTAGTTGCAAATGATTAAACATTCCTCAAAGTCCCAACCTTGGGGAGAAGATAAACACAGGCTGAGACTCTCAACTTCTGAGGCCCCAACTCTTACCCTGGTTACTTCTCAGGCTCTGCTGTGGGTTCTGCTTAGTTCACTCTCAATCCCAGTCCTATTTTCGGCAATAACCTCCATGCTGTTGATTCTCAAACTATATCTCATCCTAAATCTCTTCTGAAATTCAAACTCAGATACCCAAATTTCCTTCTGGATGGCACCCCAGATACCCCCAACTTGGTGTTCCTGAAAGTCTTTCTTCCTATGATAATCTGCTGTTCTTCCTGTATCCGCTGTCTTAGTAACAGAAGCTACCACCCTCCCAGGTGCCCAAACTGGACACACCATGTCCCCTCCTGGCCTCCTCTGTCTCCATGCCCTGCACCCCAATGCGTCAGGTGCTGCTGACTCCACCTCTTTGTGTCTTTACTACCAACTGTCCTGCAGCAAACCCTCACCATTTTATGTATCATTTTACAGTTTAATGTTTTCAGACTCTTAATATTCTCCTTCTTTCTTGCTTTGTCCTCTTTAAACCCATCCTCGTTGCTATTACCAGGTTAATCTAGTAAAACCAAAGTCTGCTCACACCAAGACCTGTGACTCAAGCACAACCACCAGGAAGTGCTCTTCATTTTCAACTTTGCAGCTTAATGTTACATGCAACTTCTCACCTTACTTTCTTCAAGTTGCTCCCTCAACCTACAATGCCTTTCTCCTCTCTTTTACCCTTTTTAACCAATTCAACATCCATTTAATCTTTTTTTTTTGAAAGATTTATTTATTTATTCATACAGAACTGGGATACAGGCCAGAGATGCGGAGGGTGAGAGGATTCACCAGAGACAGAGTGGAGAGCAGAACAGGCAGATTTATGAAGTACACTGCCGAGGGGAGCAGCGGGCGGGTCAGGAGAGGTCTGCCACACCATGTGGAGCTCCTCCCGGGCAGGCGGGGATCGAACTCATGCGGAAGTGGCTTAAGCTTCTTAGTGCAGTGCTTTAACTCGCTGCACCACCAGGGAGGGCCCCATTCATTTAATCTTTAACATTCAACTGGGACACGTCAAGGAAGTCTTCCCTACCCCAAGCCTGGATTAGTTTTCCAGCAATACCTCTTGAACACACTGGCCTCACAGCACTTTGCTGCACTAGTTAAAATGATCCCATCCTGCGACTTTTAGCTCCTCCAGGACAGGGCTGAAGTTTATTCCTCAACTTATGTCCTGCATTGCCAGTACAAGTTGGTATACTGACAAAACTGAAGCCACACCCCACCAGTGAGGACTCAAGAGAAGATGAAGCATATATCCATTCAGACATATATCCAAGTGAGGGCTGTATGGGTAAGAGTTTTTGTTATATGGCAGGAAAGGGACTAGATTAAAGAGATAAGGAAGGGTCAGAAGTTTGATAGCAAAACTTCTGCAATAATTCACGTGCCTCTAATAGGAACTACTAGTAGGGGAGGAATTATATACTGATCTCTAATGTTTCTTACACCCGAGCAAAGATACTGGAAAATTTTGTATCTTTCCAAAGGTGGTGCAGAGCAAACAGTGCCTCCCTCTAGGAAAGAGGAAAGATTTATTCGCTGTCTAAAATAATTAAGATAATGTCTCTCTCTGGGCCTATTCTAAGCATGTCTGCTTAGAATTCTGATTAAAGGACCGGCGTTGCCTAATCTTGGGGTTCCTCAGCTGTGATAATACACTGCACAGCCCCCACCTGGGTTGCCTGCTGCACACGGGTGGGACTCAGAGGACAACAGGGACAGCCAAGGTGAGGTTCAGACCAAGCATGGTTTTGTGAGCAACAGAGTCCACTGTCTCTGACCCAGAAGCCTCGTGGCTCTTACCAAAATGGCCTTTGTGAAGCATGGCAGGACAACCTGAGAATCCGCGAGGATCTAAGTCATTTCATAGCTCAGAGACATGAGGAAGAGAGCGCAGAATGAGAGGGGCAGCAGTAGGGAGAACCATGTCCAAGCTAGACCACCTACGTGGGTGTGCAGGGTGTGGGGTTCTCCAGCAACAGAACTACTGGAAGAGGAGTAAGGAGGAGACGTGAAAGGTAAATGATGTCGATAGAGGGGGTTCTTTTATATCCCAATCTTCCCACAACAGCAATGCTGGCATAGCGTGGGAAATAGTCATTGATCCAAAAAATAAAATATTAGAGTCTGAAATCCACCCTCAAAATCTTGCTTTCTATCTGTTGCTTTTGTTGGCTCCTCTTGTAGACAAAGCCAGTGCGCAACTAACTGAACTGTGGATCATTTGAAAGTGAAGGCCATGCCCCCATGTAGAATTTGCAGCCGTCGTAAAGAGGTATTTTATACAAGAGCAGTCACAGGATCTTCAAAATATCTCACTACTTCCCTATTAAATAGTTTAACTCTTCCAAGTGGTTTTCACTGAACACAGTTTTTTCAGTCTCTTAATCCCTAAGTCTCTTAAGAGGTTATGACAATAACAATCCTTCATTTCCTTTGATGAATGCACCTGATCACAGGAACCTTGGAAAGGGCATTGAGTTTTGTCTCAAGACGATGCAGCCCTAAGCTGGCACAGAGCCAAGAATTTCAGAGAGATTATGCTGGCTTACCATGAACAGGGGGAGATTTATATCAAACATTTTCCACAAAGCACCCTTATAATTATTTGAGCCGCTGGGAGCAAATCCTCAGGCATACTATTTTTTTCCCCATTTTCATAGCCAAAATAGATTTTCCTTTCCATCCCTTTATCATATTTTTTCCTCACTTCATTTGCTCAAAGGAGCCCAATCACTTCCCACTTCCCCCTTTCCAAGTCACTTGAGTATGTGAACTTAGCAGAAGTGAGAAGACCTAGAGGAAATTAGCAAGAGCTTGGAGCAATGGGAGGTAGGAAATGATTCTGCAGGAATGTGACTTTTATTATAACTCATTCTCTCCTATGTAAGCTCTTCTGATAATGAAAAAAAAATCTTGTATTGATTTCTTTTGGAACTGCTGTCAGCAGGTTTTAATTCAATGCAAACTGACCAGGCATAGGCACTAGGAAGGAAAAAAATGGACAGAGAAGAAATGATCAGGAAAAAGTCTACTATGGAAACTTTCCATGTGACCAATGAATAACTTTTCTGATTACCACAAGAAAAGATACTTTACAAATAACAACAGATGAGGTCAATCTACAAATTCCTTGTGACACTTATTCTGAAAGAGCAACAGTCATATAGGTTGTTACAGAAGCACAAATCACCCCAGGGGCAGGGGAAATAACTAGGAGAATTTCCAAAGTTATTAGGGTTTTAACTGCAGGATCTCACAAAAATGAACTCAACAGCGCATCACCCAGTAGACCAAGAAGAAAAATTCATGAAAAGAATCATCTAATTCCTGTCTGGCAACCTGACACCCCCAGAGCCTACTCCTGCATGGACAATGGCCTGGGGTCCTCTTGGCTTTATTGCAAACCCCTCCTATGTGACCCCAATTCAGGCATCAGCAGGCACATGATATGAAAACAGATGAAATTCCTAAGGGTAAAAACTGAAAGACAAACGGACCCAGATCTGAGAGCTATGTATTCAGATATAAAAGGTAACTAAACGGTTTTAAAAGATTCAACATTTCCACATTCCTTATAACTTTACTGAATTTATCCAAGCATATCATGATTTAGAATATTTCTTCCCTGGAATTTTCTTGGTCAATGCAGTAAATTTGATTATTGTGTTACTACATGCAATGACTGTCTGACGATTCCAACTATGAATACCTAGCAAGCATTCTCTCTCCCACACTAGATAGCACTGCATTGGCATCACCAGATTCCCAGGAAAATAACATTAAACATTTTGCCTTCCCATAAATTCCTAAAGACCTTTCTGACAACCTCACTTTTGTGTATCAAGACCTCTCTTGGAGAAAGGCGTTAGAGGTGCAACGGCCAGGTCCCAAGCGTGGTGAGAAAGCTGCTCCTTACCTCTTCCTCTTCAAGCAGAATGAGCCGAACCACAACAATGTCAACTGCATTGCCAATGCTTGGGTTATGAAACAGCCCAGTGACCTAGAGGCACAAATGGAAAACCGTTCACCCACTTGGAGCGATAACAGACGAGGAGGAAACTGAGACAGTGATGCATCTCAAATAACATTACCTTGTAGATCAAGAATTTTTGCTAGAACAAAAATAGTTAAGCCCACAGCCCAATACCATTATGCTATTTAGAGACAACCTTTCAAGAGTGAGTGAACAGCTGCGTGCTTGAGAGATCGGTGCCTTCCTTCTCCTCACCCCTATCCTGGAGCCGGGTCTTCCTCTCTCCTACAATAGTTACTCAGGCAAATACCTTTTCTCATCTAGCAGAACTAATATTCTAGAAAGACAGAAAATATCACAGTGCAAAAAAGACAAGTTTGATCTTACAGGTCACTGATATTATTCCAAATCTAGATCTAAGTACATGGAAAAAACCATGTTCTAATTCTTTGCCTCAGTTTACTCACCTATTCACTAACAAAGTCAGTGGTAGAGTCTACTAAAAGGATTGAGTCCCTTGACAAGCACCTAGTAAAAATGTAAACAGATAAATTTTCCTTGGACCCTTATTTTTAAGGGAAAGTGTAATTTGTCCTAAATTATCATCCTTATTCATTTAGACGGGAAACAGATGATTAGTATTCATTATGTATATGAACATACATGTGCTATACATGTATGTGTGTGTGTGCATGTAAATCGCATGTGTCTTATACCCTATATACCACTCACCCAAAACAGATTTCTGTTATTTTGGGGAGCATTTTTATGACAGCTATTGGCTAGACAACCCTCCTCCACTTCAGGCTGACATACCATGTTCATGATGGTTAGGATATAGGACTCCACGTTCTCGCTCCCGTGATACTCAATCATCTTCGTGTCAGCCACCACCAGGGTCTCCACCCACCTCTCTTTGCTGATGGAACGCCGAGAAAGACTTCTGCTTGCCAAGCTGTTCCTCTCCCATTTCTCTTGCTTCTGGGAGATGCCAAGACTATCTAAACATTAAACATAAGATGGTGGACTCATTCTCTGTATCTTTCATATATTACTCACTTAGTCATGTAAAAATTCAAGGCTTTGTGTTTAATTTACATTTGATGATGAACAAATGCGATGTTCTTATATACACAACCAGAAAGAAATCAATTCAAATGCCTAAAGCCAAGAAAACTGTAGTTCAAATCTCACAGGAAGGTTCAAAAGTACTTTTTTGAAATAATTTTACCTTTTTCATTAAAGAGATCCCTCACTCTTCAAAAGATGTCATTGAGAACTTTCTCCTTCTCTAAATATTTCCTACTGTCTCCAAGGCATTGCATTAGACTTTGAACTCAGTTTTTTCAACTGTCTGAACACTTCAGAAACACACTACTATCTCCATGTCTCCAAATGTCCAAACTGAGGCTCCAAGTGGCTGGCTAAAGAACTTCCCCAGAGTTACATAGTACATTTATCAATATTTAGTATAAGATCCAGAATTTTCTCTATCCACAAGTCATGTATTTTCACACACACCACACAGCAAACATGCATAAATCTGGAGAATGTCTTGGTCCATGTGGCTCAGGGCAGTCCACGTCAGAAGGTGGAAAAGATTCATCAGGGTCACTAATAGGTGTCAGTATGCAAAACACTTAATATAGGAGGAGCATAGTTCAGAATGCAACACCTAAGAGAGGCGAGGGAATCATGAAGAGACCTGGGAAGACTCATTCTTAAGATTCCTCAATGTTTTAACTAGGGACAATTTTCTTGCATCTTGAAAGAAATCTATAGCCAAAGTGAAATGAAATATTGCTTCATATGGGAAGCTTAACCCACATGGTGGTCGAGTCTAGAAGGTTTTAATGGGCTCAAAATGGCTTTGGAACTTGATGAAAAATAAACTGACCTGGAGAGTAAGGAAAGAGAGATACCTGGGGTGATGGAGTGAGGGAGTCTCAGTCTCTGAAATTCCCATCAGAAAGACAGTCGCACACCTCCTATGCTCTGATTGGCACCCCAGGCCTCTCCAGTGCTGACTACCCAGCCTTGGCTTGAACACGAGGTGGCAGGAGCATTTGCCAGCTCATGGGGCATCTTGTTCTGTTACATGGTTTCCGATGCTGGGCTGAAACTCCTCCCTGTAACTTCCACTGATTAGTGTCATCCTGTTCTAGAAAAATCTAGGGCAAGACCTCTCTAGTGAGCCTGTCTCAGAAAAACATACTGTGCCCTTTCTCCACCATGCTCTTTGGGTGGTAAAGTTGATTACACTGATTGGCTCTGTGGCCCTTCCTAGTTCCTGAGGTTCACAGTCTGTATAGAGTTGCAACACACTGAACAATACTTGCAAAATAAGTGAAACATAATCACAGCCCTAAAAAACTTAAACTCTACTACTGACAATTTTACCTAAAAGTAACAAAGCTATACTTTGACTCGAGAAATAATTCAGGGTTATGAAAAATGATAGTCACATTCTGTGGCTGTAATATGAATTTCTTCTTTCATTCATCAAACATGAATCCCTTTGGTTCTGACTTTGGACAGTAACAAAGTGGAATGCTCCACAAAAGCTGGTACTCGATAAGCCACTCAGAAGGCTCCTTTCGGCTCCGTGGGACGCGTGCATTTGTGCGGGAGTCATTCGTTTGTAAATGCTGGACTGGACGTCAGCAATGTGAAGACAAGCAGCATCAAGAGCAACGGACACAGGCCCTGTCCAGACTCAACGACAGGCTGCAAAGTCACGCAGGGGCAAACACAAGGGAAGGATCATGTTGGCCTCAGGCAGGCGCCTGCGTTCCCTTCACATACAAGTGACGCATGCTGACTGTCAGTCTACAAGAGAACAATTATCTGGAAAGTTCTAGCTGCTGTGTGTTGGAGCAAAAGAAAGTCTGTACTCTGGGCCCTCCCTGGTGGCACAACGGGTTAAAGCGCAAATTACAAGCCAGCCGCAGCTGCTTCAGTGCAAGTTCGATCCCAGCCCAGGAGCTGATCCCTAGGGTGCAGCAGACCTGCTGTCTCCTGTCTCCCCCACTGCTCCCCTCAGCAGTGTACCTCACTGATCTGCTGTTCTGCTCCCCACTCTGTCTCTGGAAGCCTCTCACAGCCCCTGCACCTCTGGCCTGACTGCCCAGTTCTGCATGCATGCATAAATAAATCTTTAAAAAACAAAAACAAAAAAGAAACACCACAAACAAGTGAGGTGATGAAAACAATAAAAATTAGAGGTTGTAAAATGCATCGTGAAAGACACGTCTAGACTGTACAGAGGAAGAGTGTATGTTACACAGGGTGGACTGGACAGTAGCTTCTCGAGGAAATGACATTTACTGGAGACCAAGTGTCAAACTCCAACGACAGTAACACTCTTAAGAGATGCTAGAAATGATCAGAAAGACTGATGGGGACGTAATGAACAGGTGGCCGGTGGTAGAAGAGACTCCCCTGAGCAGACAGGCATATCCAGATGACACATGCCCTTTAGAGAAGACACAGGTTAGGAAAGGTATGCTACTTACTTACTTTTGACTCTTGCCCTGAAGACTCCAATAACTTGGACCTGCACTGTGTCTAAATACCATGTTTTGCACCCTGGCTTTGTCCCCAGCGCAGGGTCAGACAGTGCCCTAGCACCCAAATGACAGCATGGTGAGAAATTGAGTTGCCTACTCAGTTCACTGGCAGAGCCCAGAACTTTCCCCCTTTCAGCCTACTCCCCTCTTCCCATCTAAATTAACATGGAACTTTCCAAGGTACTTTGATTCCCCTCAGGGGGTGACAACTTGACCCTAGATAGATGTCACACAATTTTTACAGCTGACTTAGTGTTTTTGCTTCCTTTTCAATTATTATTTTGAAACATGTATGAAATACTTTGGATCCACAAGCGGCTTAGGAAATTCAAAATTAAAGCCCTTGCTGAGTTGCAGCTGGCCCGGCCAGGCCTCCAGGGCCTGGGGTCTGTGCTACACAAACAGACTTTGGTGCTCTTCCAAACACTCCACCAGCACCACCCCCTCAGTCTCTGAAAGCAGGGATTATAGCGATAGACACACCAGCAATGTCCTCCTGCAGAAGCAGAACGCAGCCTGAATGTCAATAAGTGAACAGGAATCTTGCCTCCCACGCTTGTTCCTCTAGTCACCTCTTAGAAAAAGGTCTGCAATTAGAATCTCAGTATTTAGTCCCTTTTCAAATTCAGATGTACAATGGCAACATATATGTGGAGAATACAATGGGCTGTGGAGAGCTGAGCTGGCCTGAGGACATGTCCAGGTTAGAGGTCAGGATCGTAATCTCATTTGGGGCACAGAATGATGTCTATGGGCAGTTTTAATGCAAAACAAGAGTTTTCTTTCTTTTTTTCCTTTTTTAAAAGATTTATTTATTTATGTATACAGAACTGGGGTACAGGCCAGAGGTGTGGGGGCAGTGAGAGGATTCACCAGAGGCAGAGTGGGGAGCAGAACAGGCCGACTGATGAAGTACACTGCTGAGCGGAGCAGCGGGCTGGTCAGGAGAGGTCTGCGCGTCACGTGGGTCACCTCTGGGGCGGGGATGGAACTCATGCTGAAGTGGCTTTAGCTTCTTAGTGCTGTGCTTTAACCCACTGAGCCACCAGGGAGGGCCAAAGCTATTTCTTAATAACTCCTGAATGACTGGATTTTATCCGAGTTCTCTCTGTCTCAGTTTCCTCACATATAAGTTGGGAACAGCAGGATTCATCTTGAGGCATTTGTGTAAGCATGTGATAAGTGCATGCATGCACACACCTGTAACAATGACTGGCATGCTATAAAGAGCTAACAAATCTTAGCTGTTACTATCAGTAAGTGACCCAATAAATAAAAACCTAAAAAATTCAGTCTCAATCAATGGCATCGGCAGCCTCAGGGCCTTAGATGGTGAGAGCAGGTCTCAATCTCTATCTAGAGAGTTCAAAAGTTTTCAGGTGCTCTGTAAAGGTGGGCTGTCAATAAAAATGAGGGCCTAAGTTTGTGGGTAGGAAGGTGCTACATAGACAGGAGGGAAAGCTGGGTGTGAAAGGAAAACATAAAATCTTCATCTTTGTTACAGACATGCCCCTAACAAGGATGGGATTCAGGTCACAAGGATTCAGTTAGTGGGAGTGCAAAAGCTACTGTTAGTGTTAGGGTAACAGAATTGGGGAGAAAATTCAATGACAAGATAAAGGATAGGGGCCAATCTAACACTTAAGATCGGTGAAGCAGAAGCAAAGCCATGATTATTCAGTATTCTGCTGCAATAATGAGCTACTGTGGCCTCTCAAGCCAGACCTCACTCGCGTTGAGCCTACCGAGATCCCTTTGTAAAAAGAGGTGAATTCAGACAAGATAAGCTAATGCAGTGTTCTCCTGCTGGACACTGTTCCTCTGGCTCGCTCATCCCAACATCTGGCCATGGGACTGCCAAGTTGCCTGGGGCCTGCTGGCTGGGTCGTGGCCTGGACCCAACCGAAATTAAGTCCATAGCAGAACATAGGGATTTGGTAGACTTCATGTAGCTTGGCCTCAGCTTAGAATGCATTTGGGACTTGGTTGGGATTCACATCTTGATTTTAAACAAATACTAGTCAAATACCCCAAATTCCATGGTGGGTATGTAATTGTGGAAGATCTATCATCTGGGGACTTAGCTCTGAATTGATAATTTTTGAAACTAAGGAGATGCTTTCCGTTCAGTTCATAGAGTTTGATTCACAGTGTGAAATGCAACAAAGGAACAATCAGTATGATCAAAAGGGCCAATCAGGGAGCTATACTTCCACCCCTTAGTGTATATTGTTTTATCAAGATTTATTGTACGTGGTTATGTCCAGTCAGCAGCAAAAGCTAGGGCTACCAGTTTGTTGCTGAGGAAACCAAGTTCTAGAGAAGCAAAAACAGCACTAAGTAAATAGAATCCGCCAACATAAAAAATAACATCCTTATTAGTTTTAGAAAATAAACATTTAAAGCTGAAAGCGTTTTGTCTGTTCCAGTGT